AAGCCGCTTCAGACTGCGACCTTAACCTAGCAGATGGTATAACTTATTACCAGTCCACATCTTACCATAAGGACTAAACGTTGAACTGTTGCCGGTGTTCTGATGATCTATGCTGCCTTGCCGAAAAATGCTACCATAGCGTAAATCGATAGACTCGACTCTACTCGGCCCTGCTCCGTTTTCCGTTGCAGGTAGTACCCAGAGATAGTACGTAGTGTTGTGTCGTTCAAAGAATGGTTTGTTCATTTGACCTAATCTTGTATGTGATTCAGGAGGAACGGGTGTCTCAGTCTTGTCTCTGTGAGTAATTTGTTCATTTACACGCATGCCTGAATAGTCTTGGATTCTTACGTTCACTCGTTACACAGCAGCTGCATGGTCTCCGTCAGCACAGGAAACAGAATTGATTAGTTCATGACTCTTGAACTGTGGTTCTCTGGGTTTGAGTCGTTCATTTGTCACGTGACAGCTCGCAACTGTGGAGCAGGAATGAACTAATCGTTCAGTGCTCACATGGGTCCTCCTCGGAGTCTGTCTTCACTCGGCAGGCTGAGTTACTGCCAGCACCGGGGAATGAGAGGCAAGTCTGTTGTCAGGTAACAGTCACTGGACTGACATATATCTAATATCTATTTTGATAATTTTGTGACATTTAATGAAGCATAACGTTATTAGGGCACAGTTATGTTGTGCTAAGTTATAGTTTTAACACAGCCGCACCGTAACTTTAGTCCTGCTTGTGTTTACAGCCAACAGCTGATGAGAGTTTTTCTGGGTCCACTTCAGAGACCTGACAGGGATCTACTGGGAGCTGAATTACCACAGAGGTCGTCTCTTCTCCAAAACAAACGGACCGGCTCATTAAAACATTAAAACACAGCCACATAGCAGCGTTAGCCCTGTGGTTTGTTTACAGCTAACAGCTGATCTGGTCCGCCAGAGAACGCAACTTAACTTTTACTTTTTATTTATCGACAGGGCCGTGCTGTTGTTTCACCGCTCCTCACTGATGAACAACCCGCAGTGTTTGAGATTATTATTAAATTTGTTAAATTTTAGTAAGAGTGTGTTTTATTTATCTAGTGTGTCAAGCTTATTACAGGCTTCCCCCGCAGCCACTTGCGGAGCTCCTCAACTCTATTATATTATATATTCAAGCACATTTTTGTTCCGCCATCACTTATCGTGAAACTGTCAATATTCAAAATCTACACAACTGATTTCTCACCTCAAAACTTCTCAGAAGTGGATTTAGTGATGAAATTCCATATGAAAACTGTAAAATATAAAACTTTCTGTTGCTGGCCTCTGTCTGGTGCACACAATGATGATGCAGTGAATAGTGACGATTCTCTCTGACCAATCAGCAGTCTGTCGTATTTTCACGTTACATTTTAGTATCCCTCATCTGGCTTGGAACCTTGACGGAGGTGAGGTGATACGAAAAAAAGTACCTGGAAGCAGGTACAGGTACAACATTTCTACAATTGAAAACCAAACAAAAGCGAATCGAGCCAAAGGGCCTCCACTCAGACTAGCTTAGTTTGAGGGCGTGCCTGACCCCACTAGCCGCTTGGCAAGCTTTATGACGTGTTTTCATTGTGACGTCACAAGTAAAGGGCTGGACTACAAACGACTTGTTTTCAAGTGGTTCAGAGCAGTGCTTTCTGTGGGAGATGGGAACTCCCTTTGGGCTGGACTTTGGGCTTTTTCACTTTGCAAACCTGTTTCATGCACAAAAGATATATAACTCAATAAAGGGGAAAAGCCAAAAAAACAGAATACCACTTCTTTAAAGGATAAAGAGAGGAAAGCTACAGAGCAGGGATCTAAACAGAAGAAACAATAGTGAAATTACAATATGGAGAAGCAGAACCACAATAGATAGATTGTAGACATAATATGGATCCCAAAGGATGTTGAGCAACATCCAGGCCCATTCATCCATTAGTCATATTCATGATTCCTCCAAAAAAAAAAAAAACTTAAATGGAAGTGTTCCTTTGTTTATCCATGAACATCAGGCCTGGATTTCATAATGTAGCAGAATTAGATTAAGAGTCACCATGTTATTAATACCACCTGTGTATTTTCCACATGCCAAGACCTGTTGTGGTGGCAGCCTGGCTGACGGTGAGTGTCCTGTTTGTTTCTCCTTTTTTCCCCCTGCATTCTGTTTTCCCCTGTATTTTGCCTGCCTCCCTGTGTCTACACTGCTCCCCTTGCTTGTGTTCTCCCTCTCTCTCCGCTCCTGAGCACAGCTGAAGATCCACACCTGCACCTCATCAGCAGCCTCGTCTGCCTGCCACACCTGCCAGCAATCACTCCATATCAGCAAGTATATCAACCCCGGTTCTCCACACAATCTCTGCTTGATTGTCATTGCTCCTGACTTGGTGCCACTACTTGACTCAAGCTTTTGCAATGTTCCCTGTTCCCCAGTAATTAACTCTGTCTGTCTGCCTTTCCCCAGGTTCACTCACCTCCGTCCACCGTCAAGTCAGCTGGGCTCGCCTACCTGCCCTCTCCCCTCGAGTGTCTTCCATGGCATCCTCTCGGCTCCCCCTCGTGCCTCGCAGTCAGTCTGCCACCACACTCCTCCACCAACTCCCCCCCGGTCAATTCCCCCGTGCCTCCTCTCTTCCGGTGCCCCCCAACTCCCTCGTCTGAACCTCCTTGGTCCCACCTGCTCCTCGGCCCCCGGTGCCCCTCAGCTGCCTTGCCACAGCCCCCTCTGCCCTACTTACTGCTTGGTCCCCCGTGCCCGTATCCCCCCGGCATTCACCTCTACCTCACCTCCACTCCCTCAACCCCTTTCTTCCCTTAAAACCTTTTTTAGGGAACACGCAACAAAGACCATTCATAAAACCTTCACATACTTTCAATATAGCCTACTGTGAAAGTATGCATGAACACCTTAAATTTTTATGTGCTGACCTCTTTGTTTATAATATTACCAGTCCATTCCAAATTTTCTCAAAGGACCCTCATTAGGGCCCATGTCCACCAAAACGTTTTTTACCAGCTGAAAACGCCACCTGCTCGTCTGAAAACTCCTAGCTGGGAGGGCTAGGGCGCGTTTTGAAGGCACAGTGGGGTTTTATCTTTTTTTTTTTGAGAGGCTGTGGTTGCTATGATACACAATGTCTGTGGAGGTAATGTGGTGCAAGTAGGGTAGGCTACTTAATTTTACTGAATGTAAAAATGTCACCACAAAGTACATAGGCCTGCTTGCTCTGGCCTTTGCTCTGCATGAAGAGAAGGCTGAAACATGAGCACAGACTCTCCGTACGTGGATTCATGAGATTTTGCGGGCGAGTAGGCACATCGCTTCGTTGAAGATCGGATGTGCTCGGTTTGGTGTTTGTCCCACCCCTCCTGCACTGTGATTGGACGGCTGGGTAAAAAGTGACAGTGACGAGCGCAGCGTTTTTCTCTCGGCGCCTCGTCACGCTCCTGGCATTTTTACCAGCTTGGAATAACGCGGCGATCCCATGAATTGAAAAAAGACGCTGGCGTCAGAAAAAAACGCTTTAGTGGACACGGGCCCTGACTGTTTATTGTAAGACACAAGACCAATTGTGTCCCAACTCTCAAGGATCTCCAAGTGAATCCAGAAAAGAAAGGACTCCACTTAAAAATAGAAGTAGCCTACATTAATACATTTTGAACAGCAAAATAAATACAACTAATAATTTTAAATAAAAGTATAAATGAGTATATGATAAGAGCCAGGTCCATTTTACAGATGTGAGAAAAGTTAATAAACTTTTGAGCTAAGATTATTTTGTCACACAAATCATACACCAAAATAATCTAAATTTTGAGGCTGCACAGTACGGAAGAGTAATGCATAGGCTGTACACAGAGAAACTTTTCTCAAATATATCCTGAATTCCAATCTGAATCAGAAACTCCCCTCTTACTGGGAGAAATGCCCAAATGCCAATTAATTGCAGCAAAACTTATCTCCTCATGCAACAACCAGTGGAAACTAATATAGATACAAATCGTTGTTGTTCTTAAAATCGTTTTAAATTTTGTTGATTTTATTCTGATTGTTTTTTATCTTATGTTTTATCATGTGCCTTCTATGTTCTATTTTGTGGATTGGGACCATGTCTTTTAGTGAGTTTCAATTTGAATTCAAACTTGATAGATTTATTGATAAAATGACATTATCACAATATTATTATTAATATGATATATTATTTGTTATTTTAATAATCATTCCTTGGAAAAATACTACCACTTGTTAAAAAGCAAGACATAGGCCTACTTTCAATCTAAGATAGGCTATAGTTTGTTTATATTTTTCAATTTTATTTATATATATATATATATATATATATATATATATATAGTTTATATGTGACTGATATAAAGTTGTAAGTACATTTTTTTTTTTGGTGGGTTTTTAATTATTAAATGCTTGGGCAAGAATCAGAAGCAGTCTACAATTGTATAGCCATTAATGCAGAAGAATTACTGTAGGTTGCAGTCTTAACTCGCATATCGTATTTTTTATATATATATATTATATAATTTTTTTTTTTTTTCTCGGTTCTTCATCGTCTTCTTCCCGTCACTGTTACAGTTAATGTTCTACATACTGCCACCTGCTTTACCGGGGGAACGTAGCAGTTTTTATTTTATTTTATATAAAGGTTAAAAATACAGGAGATTTACGGGAAAATATTTAAAGGGGGCGACACCGGGATAGAATGGTAAATTACGAGATAATCCCGGGAAAAACCGGAGGGTTGACAGGTATGAAGCTTGACAAGAGCACAGAGCAAGGGGTTAAATCCTTTTTGTTACCATGGAGATAAAGACAGCGGTCGCCAGTTGACAGGCGCATGGAACAAGAGACGGGAGAGGGGAACTGTTGATTGACGGCAGAAGAGGCGGGGTCAAATATTATACTCTGTGCTCATTGGCCGGATATGTCACGTTGTCACTTCGGAATGCAAATGAAAAGAGTCGTTTAGGTCCCACCCCTGCTGCTCTTTCGCTGCCGCTGGTCTGCTCCTCTGAGCCTGTCGGTTGGATACAGCGAGCCACCATCCAGAAATGGTGTAGAATATCAGAAAAAAAACAGCGAGGGAAGAGCGGCCAGAAAGAGGAGCGAGGCTACAAGGCTTTACGATAACGGTAAGGCGACGTCTAGTTTGCCTCTTGGCACAGGGTGTCACGGTTGGCACGAGGGTCAGTCACCGTTTGGGTCTGTGTGTGTGTGTGTGTGTGTGTCGGAACGCGTGAGGTTAATCGGTCGCTATAGCTAACGTCGTCTCGGGGCCCCAAAACAGAAGCAGGCAGCAACATTTGTTTCTAGCATGCTTGCTAACGTTGACGTTAGTTCAGCGGCTAAAGTTTAGCCTGCAAAGCCTTCACGTAGTTAAAAAGACACCGCACTAACGGTTACTGTGACGAATAACAAGTAAGTTAGCGCTAACGTTAGCCAATGTTGTCACGGACCATCATGGAGAAAATTAGCTATGAATGAAAATCTGCCTGGGAGCAAAACGTGTAAATTGAATGTTCTGGGCAGCAATAGCATCTTTTCTTTAGCTTTTCCAGTTTTTACGTTGCCTCGGCTAAAGTTAGCCAGGTGCTTTCTTATTAAAGAACTTTGGTTCCATAGGTCATGACCTTTGGCACGGAGGAGGAGTTAGCTAGTCATTTTGACAAGTGCAGAAAATCACTGAGGATAATCCTAATGCTCCACTAGAGATGGAATAGTGTGGCCATGGCCTTCCAGTGACCTGAGTATGGTCAAAGTAATACCACAGTTATATCTAACCCCCAACCACCCTTCAGTGTGACTGTGTTTAGCCAGTGTGTGGTTAGGTGTGTCTCACCTTTTTTTTTTTTAAGAAAGCTGGAACTAGCAAACTGTCACACTTTACTTCTGATTAGATTTACTCCAAAATTATGTACGTCCGGGCTGCTGGTGCAAAGAAAAAAAACGCTCACTGGCCCACACTCAGATGCTGGATCAGTACATTAGAGGCTATTTAAACCAGCAACGAAACAGAAAACACATTGGATTCAGAAAAATATATACAGCTAGAGGCACACTCTCCAGAGATGTTGATTCCCTGGCATTTTTTGTCACATGACTGTTGAGTGCAAGTCACCACAGACCCACATGTCCTTTTATCAACAGGTTATCCTTTTTCTGAATTGATCAACATCCTGTTGCACTAGCTGTGTGTAAGTTCAAACTTAGCCAAGTTGTAACATAAATTGGTGATTTATGCATTACTAAAGTAAAATGAGTTAAAATATAACTCTAGGGAACAAATAAACAACACATGCCCCAGGGTAGGTGTAAAATATAAAATTTGTTGTTTTTCTGCCACACAGCATCATTTTTTATTAATTCCATGTCATTTTGCAACACAGTAATCCAACAGAGATCTAGTTCATTGATATAATTCATGTCTGTCTAGCTTACAGCGATTCTAAGTAGCTCGTACCGGCCAGAAAAAGCCAAATATGTTCAACAATGTTCAAACCTAGAGAAATGCATCCCCCCCCTTTTTTTTTTTTTTTTTAAATAAAGGTAACAGTGCATTTCATTTGGTTGCCTGTCAATGTCGTTGTATTTCCCTTTACCTCCTCTAGTTGCTTTAACGTCTTGGGAAACACGGGTCAGAGGGACGAAGAAAGTCTACGAACGTGACTACATGTAATGTGAATAAAACTTTAATTTATTACCTTGTCCGTAAACATGCTTTCTGCCTGAGTTACATCAGATAGATTTACATTTGCAATGTTGATTGTTAAACAATGAAGAAAACAACTCCCAAGATACCATGGTACTTCATGATGTCATGAAACCATGTGTTTTGTTATTGTTTTGATTTGAGAGACCCCTAGTGGCAGAAATGGCATATGTTTAATGGGCAGAGCCTGTTGTGACTAGGGCTTGGGGATATATCAAATATATCAGATATATTTAAGTGTTTGAGTGATATGGCAGCTGAACATATCATCATGATCAAGTTGTTCTTTGCACATTTTAGTAATTTATTTCTGTATTAAATGCATGTGGCATTGACATGCAGGAGACTCGCTCTCCCTCCCACACAGTCACAGACTCCCCAAACTAATTAACCATTGTTGTCCTGACCAAGTTAACTTCAGTTCAACATACCCAGGAAATCTTTTCATTATCTGGCTTCACTAACCCTAACAATTAAGATCGGGATAAGCGGTCCCACAAAGCTGGTTACCAACTTGGTAAGTCAACCCAGGGTTTCCCAATCCAGCCGTGAGTGTGTTAACATAAAAGAGTTAGCAGCTGAGGACCAATCGCAGACATGAACAGGTCCACTTAAAGCAGAATGGCATATTTTACAAACGAAGAGCAAACTATAACCCTACAAAAATACGACATACCGTAGTTTAAGTAACACAGCTGCAACTGACACATGCCGGGAGACAGAAAACGCAGTCAGTGTAAATGCCTAAATGAACAGGAGTAGTCTATAATAATGCATTGATTTTGATGTGTTCTCATGGCATCTATGAAAATAGTAGCCTTATTCTTTCAGCTCGGCTGTGTGTTTCTACATTAAAAGACTCAGCCACTGAATAGCCTAAGTGGTCGACCCACCTTTTAAGAAATTCTTGTCACTTAAAAAGAGATTAGTTTATTTAACACACTCAAAAGTGTTCCAAACATTGTTCTAAATTAATAAAATGTGCTGAAATTGTGGTTGAAAGACTGAATCTCAACGTTTAGGCTACTGAAAACTCACCTCAATACCTGCGCCCACATAGCAAAAGGTGGGGTGGGACGTGACTAGTCTCTATGATAGCCTATCTTATAGGCTATTTATTTTAGGTTAGTAGCTATGTTTATATTAAAATTAATTTCAATATCCCTACCAAACTGCTCATAATATTCAGCCTCACATAAGAAAAATGAAACCCATTTATTTTAACGGCTGCGACAGGCTGTGTGAAACGGACTGGGTAGCAAATAAAAATTATAAAACACATTTCATAGCAGTAAGTATAGGTTTACTGTAAAAACCCATACAATAGTAGCTTACAAGGCTTTCAGTCAGTCTCTGTAGGATGATATTGCTGTACAAAAGTTTCTCCACATCACCGCAGCTAACATTAAAGCAGGCTATAAAACAGTCTGTGGGATCTCCTACAGATGGAGATGTCATTTTCCAAGAAAGCTGATTGGTCAGGAGGCTGTGCTTTTTATAGAGTTGATCTCTTATCTGGAATATAACCTGATCCAGAGCAGGTTAGCCGTTCAGCATAAGTTACCATGGCGATCTACCCCAGTAAGAAGTGAACCGCTGTTGTTGTACTGAAAACCCAGGGTTTACCCCTAAGTTACCTCAATAAGGTCAAATCCTGCTTCGTGGTACAGGCCCCTGGTCGATCATATGGTGTTTCAGTTTCTGGAGGGCAGATGTGAGACAAACTACTGTCCTCTGCAAAATAAACCACAAAATGATGGCTACTGAAGCAGTACCACAAATCCATCTTTTACCAAAAAAAAAATGAATAACAGTCAGGTCAACAAAGATTTGTGTATGTAGGCAAGGGTTAGTATCATGTCTTTTATTATTTTTATTTTATTCATACAAAAGTATTTGGTGTGGCCTTGTCTAAGTCCCACCCCAGCATGTATCATAACAATTGTTGCCTATGGGTACACACTGTCAAGAGGGTCAGATCATGCCCAGTAATTTGCTTTTTTCAAGAATAAAAAGCAGCAACAGGCCCAATGAGGGTACTGGGGTTGATTGCAGGGGATGCTTGCTTTATGCACTTAAAAGCATGGCAAGCTGTTATTATAGAATAGAGTGACTCTTTTTAAACCCAAGATCACACAGCTCGGGAAAATTAGCCAGAGACAACTATTTGCACATCTAATCTTACAGCTCACACCTGGTCTGATGCATTAAGTGTTATGAAAATTTTGATTTGTTTATTTCACAAGAGGGTGAGGTCCACATGTCTTTGTCATGTTTTGTTTAGACTAGTGCTGCACAAATTCTTTCCTATGAAGGGCCAAAAATTTATCTGGATGGAAAATAAATGTTGATGTTATGTGAAATTCCATCGTCAACCGCTTATCCTGCGTACAGGGTCGCTGGAGCCAATCCCAGCTTACATGGGGCAAAAGGCGGGGTATACCCTGGACAGGTCGCCAGTCCATCGCAGGGCGTGAAATTACATTACATATTTCAAAATAACACTACTACTTTAATTTGCTTAAAAGTTTTATTAATTTGCAGAGATGATTGTCAGAAACATCCATATGCTTCTTTTTGGGAGCATATAACTATCTAGACAGAACAAAATTATAAACGCAACACTTTTTTGTCTTTCGCCCCCATTCATCATGAGCTGAACTCAAAGATCTAACACTTTCTCTATGTACATGAAAGGCCTATTTCTCTCAAATATTGTTCCCAAATCTGTCAAAATCTGCGTTAGTGAGCACTTCTCCTTTGCTGAGATAATCCATCCACCTCACAGGTGGCATATCAAGATGCTGATAAGACAGCATGGGTATTGCACAAGTGTGCCTTAGGCTGGCCACAAAAAAAGGCCACTCGAAAATGTACAGTAAAATTAAAAGCTTTTATCAGTCCTTTTTCCTCAACAAAATAAACATTTTAATAAAAAAATTAAGTCCTAATTAGTGTATTATTCAAGTGAATAAAATCAAACATTTATTGAATATTTATTCAACATTTGTTATATTATTGAAAAAAATGATCTTGCGATAATTATTGTTGTTGTTTTATTGTCCAGCCCTAGTTCAACGATGGCTTGAATCAATAACGCATTTCTTCTGAACTTACCAGGTAGTTCAACTTCCTTGCTTACTTTTCTCCAAGCAATCTCCTGTTTTGTCCGTTCTGTAAAAAATTGAAGTAGTCCCACATACCTCTGGCGGCTACAATAACAGTGGAGGCCGGAAACACTGTAGCTCGCAAATCAACGTTTTACTCCTAAAAAAATTATAAGTAAAAGTTTATTTAATAAAAGCAATTAACTCTGAGCTCCTCCTACCGGTAAATGGCTTTGTTATCAGATCAAAATCTGGTGTGACCAAAAGCTCCGGCGCGGCCTCGCCTCTCTCCTCCAGTACTCGCAGCAGCTATATG